ATGACACTCAATTTTTTTCTTTCAGAACCCCCATATCACATGCATTGCTCATCAAATTAGGAAATGGATTATGCTGGAAAGAAATAACAAAACGTGTTTATTTTCGATTTAGTAGTGGGGCAGGCCTTGGAACGAGCTTTTGGGTGCACAACGCTTTTCACAAAATTTAAACTGTGAGCAGGCTACCATTTGTAATGCCTAATACATTTTCGTAGCGCTAATCAGCTTGTCACGCGTATTTACGCCTACTGGTACAGTCGAAACTGCCCAGTCGGGTCGATGGTTCTCCGTTTTTTTCTATCGCGTGCCTTCATTGTGCTCAAGCAGCATAGCTCTCGAATTATGCTGATTGTTTCGTCGCTGAATTAAATGAAAAACGGTTGATAGATCATTAACGAATGTATTTCTTCCAAGCTAGCTAATTTTTTCAAGAAGCTCCTTTTGTAAGATTAACCCAGGTATTCGCTACTAAAACGCTGCGCACTTGTAGATGTTCTTTTTAAATTTAGTGCTTTTAGCACATTTCGCGGGACAATAATAAGTAAGATTCCTTAGTTATTATTTCGAACGTAGGCGGTTCTCCGGCTTTAAATGTTCCAAATGAAATTGTTGCTGTTGGCAGGCCGCCTCTCTCTGTAGTGGCCACTTTCACTATTTCCATTTCCCATTTTCATTCACGCCTACACGGCAAAACCACAAGCAGATACCTTTTTAAGCCGAAGACTACGGGCTGATTTTGTCATTCATACTGGTACCTACCTTGCCGTCATACTGCTTTTACTGTTCACTTCGGGCTTTCTATCATTTCTTTTGCTCACTGTACTTTTAATCTTGTTTTTATTACCACAGTTGCTTATTTGTCTTTTTCTCTTATCGACGATTAAGATTTGTATTCACTGTTACATAAAGTTTGGTTTGTCAGGCTCCACCCCTTTTGCACTCGTAGGAATTCAGCGCAAATGCTACTTTGTTTTGGTCCTCATTAGATTGTTGTTTTAACATAGAAAGTTGTTTTGATGGTATTTTAACGCTGCAGTTAAGCGCCGTCATCTTTAGTGTTTGACTATAAGCAGCTCTACACCCGGAATGACATCCAACCGTTCCAAGATATTCTGTAATCGCTAACATGTCAACTTAAAGGTGTTTTCTCATTCTGATGAAACGCCCTTCTAGTAGGTAGGGATGATTCAATTTTGGCCATATTTTTGATACGGTCATTCGGGTATGATCATTGTCCTCTCTTGAAGTGAAAAGTGTAGTATTTTATGTTATTTGCTTTCTCACCATCATACCTGTAGCATATGAACAACAAGCTCTTTGTTGTAGCAAGATGCCGATCTTCTGTGATTTGATCTCAATTATATCACTATAATCGTTTGTTTTACCCAGCTTAGTCTATTTTTATAGGCTGAGATTTTCACGTCTGCCTGTGTTTGTGTTCATCAACAGGGCGTTGATTAATTCGGTTGGGATCATGAATTTGCTGCAGATGATTACGTGGCACGCCTTGGCTTTTAACTCCAAAGCCCTCTGCATCGACGCTCTGTGCGGGTCATCAAGTGTCTTCCTTTTAGTGCGAAGTTGTTTCTCTTCTGCGCTTCAGACGTTAGAGACTTAGCTCCTTCCCCCGCGTTCTCTAGTTTTCGTACAAAATGCGCATATTTTGGGGTAATAACATCTAATTTGCTGATGTTGCTTTCTGAGGTAGTTCGTAAATCATTTTCATCATTTATTTTGTGAAATCTTATTCGATTGCTTAGAATACGGTGATTACGAATTATTTCTGTGCAATTTAAGATTCAGGAATCAAGAAAAAATTGCACCGCATTTTCGCCCGCATCATATGCAACAGACAAGGGGAAACGTTTCTTTTCAGTGAGATCCTCCGTAGCGCTACTCGTTGTTACTTTGCCTTAAGAACAACGCTCAGCCCCATGTAATTTTGTTTAACCTCATCAGCTGGTTATTGAAATCATTTATTATTCCACGTATTGAAAAAAAGATTAAAAGATTTGTTGTCTCTATCTGGAACCTGTTTGTCATGCTCGTGCAGTTTTTTTTCACCTGTGGCGACCTATATGACCGTCATTTTAGCTAGCTACTGCAGCGAAAACGTTATAATGTAGTTACGAATTTTGAACGCGTAATTCCAGTTTACCCGCTGCTCAATTTCATAATCTTATTTGAGAAATCACTCTCGAACCGGAGGAGGTCTTTCTCTGTTAACAGTCCAATGAGACGAGGATCTTTATAACCACATTAAATAACGGTAATTTTCTGTGAATAGGCTAGACTTTAATAATCCTATTGTGACGTGCTTAAATTTAATTGTTTGGAGGGTGACCTGAACACAATGAGCACTTAATTCTTTGCGAACGGTCTTGGTGGTGGCGTTGTCTCTTCGATGGCGAATTTCTTCCCTCTCCTCCCCTCCCTTTCACTCATCAGGTCCGATTAGACTTTTCTTGGCGTTTTTACCTTTCATCCCTTTGTCCTTCTGAGAATTCTTTAGTATCACTGAAAGTCCTGCTCTTACAGTTTTTCAAATGAGTATTTATTCTCCGTTTGGGTTAAAATTTATTACCACTGTGTGACTTATGTTCTAGTAAAATTGAGTCACTTTACCCATGGAACACGCACAGAACCTTTTTTTATTTGCCGAGCGCTAAAAAATATTGCGTTAATTGTGTGAACTTTCTGTTGTTTGATCGACCTGAAATATGGCGTTTTCATTGCTTGTTTTTCCGGTACAGCTGGTTCGAAAGGTGCCAGCTTTTCGTTTCTCTGTTCATCCCTTTAAGTGGAGACATAAGGTGATTGTCTTTGACGATTTTATGCGAATGAAATGTCGCAAGATACTACAGTATTTCCTTCGCCCTTTTTCTTTAAATGCGGGGACCAGGATTAGTGGTAGTCTTACTCTAATCCTTGAAGCAGGTAATTTGGGCATCTCAATTACGTCCGATTGGAATGTTGTGAGCTACCACTATCTTGTAACCTTTTTGTCAATGTTCCGTCCCCTCTAGAGTACACTCCTTGCGCAGAGGCTTTGGTGCGACCTCTCGGCACTCCTCCTCCGAGGCCTCTCCTCACAAATCAGGAGGCAGAGTGCCCCTTCAGAGCCTGAGTGAGTCCTCCGGTGCGGAGATTTCGGATTTAGAGACTGAAAGTCCGAAGGATAGCGGGAGTGCCAACAAGAGGGAGGTGGAGGAGGAGGAGGATGCAGAGGACTTGGAATTCGCGATTCTTGAGGCAGCAGCTGCTGCAGAGGTGGAAACGGAGGCAGAAGAGTTGGGGGCAGTGATAGCGACGTCTCAGCACGACCAAAAACTCGCTGATGTCTGTCCTGTCCCTCCCTTCGATGGCCCCGTTACGGCTTGGTGAGTCTTTTTCTCATCCTATTTGTTTAGTCTTCTACACTTCACCATATGCTTAGGCATTATGTTTCTGCTACTGAGTTGTATACGTACAAATTAGTTTTCTCAAAGAAAGACGGGTTGATTTTCTTTAATTTTGCTCTGGCTTATAGGCAGCGTTTAAAATTAGAATACTTAGCTACCTGTGGCATAGTGTCATATTCATGCTTTAAACTGGGAGGTGAAATAAGGCCGGGTTCTTTAAGAACAGCTATCGAAGCAGTAGTTTGTTTGGAAGGCGACTAATATTAAAGCTGAACGTTGTATTTTTCAGTGTATAATTTCGTCTAATGACCACGCCATGTGATTGGATGGGAATTTGTAGCATCACCCCAGCTTTGTATTTAGTTCTCGCCGCTTGGATTTATGAGAGTCATGAAGCAGCATTTAAGAATGTTCCTTATCTAACATCATTTCGGAAGGCAACGTATGGAAGAGCTCTCTTTCTTATCTTTACTTGTGCACAGATGAAAAATTTTTAGTGCAAAGCAAATTAGTTACTCGACTCTGACTGGCACTGAGGTATGTTGACGAATTATTAAACCGTCATTTTGTTAAAGATAGCACCTAACACTAATTATAATGGCATTTCCTCACTGTCATTGCTGTATCCGGGTCATGGTATGGAATAAGGCTTCTTTTATGATACCACATCCTTCGAAAGCAACCATCAAACTATTTGCCATTCACCGGGGACATTATCTCCTATCATCCAACTTCCTCCTTTTTTTCGCTGTGTAAATGTGTGGTTTTTGGGATTGCCTAGCTAATACTATTGGAGATCTAGTTCGACCTCAGAATTTGCATTTGAGCTGAATAATTAAAACCAGTCTTAGCGGATAACACCTACTACTCCCACGAAGTCGAAGTTTGACTGCACTCACTCGATGAGCCATTTTGAGGCGTTCACGTTTATTTTGCCAGCCGCTAGAATGATACAAAAGTGGAAACGGTTTTCTTTTGATGTAGAGAGAATGATGGTATATTTATTACTTCAATCCCTGTTAATTGGATAAAGTATTTTTTTCTAGCCAAAATCATACCTTCACCCCCTTATATACACCTGGCTCTTTTTTGCAATTAAAATTGCTTACCTGGGCGAAATGCCCCGAGTCACTTCATTAAATGAATCAGTTATGTATTTTAACTTGCCCATTCCAAAATCAAATCATAGGTGCAAAGTGATTATGGCCCATCTAAATAATAAAGAAAAGGATGATCAAGGCGAATGGTCGAAAATTGTGGATGCATAGTATTGGTGAAACGTGATCGACCGTTTCACAGAACATTCAATAAATTAGTTCCTCTTATCTATTAACCAGCTTACTTAACAATATGCAGGCAATCAACAGCAGCAGAAGCAACCGGTGGTGGCGAGATGTCAGGTCCTTGTCCACTGCACGCGGGTCTGGAATCGTCTCCATCGTCACTACACAACGGAAGCAGTGGTAATCAGCAGTCACAGCCATTGGCAACGATTAACGGCGGTTGTAGGGGCTGGCTGAACTGCTTTCGACCGACACCTACGCCATCGCGTCAACCACATCACCAACCTGGTCGGTGGACAGGGGAGACGCCGACGCCCACAGCGACACCTACTCCGACACCCACTCCGGCGCCTCTTCTGCCATTTCAACACCCCACACCCCCCTGGTTTCAGGCTTACTTGCCTCGTGAGGTCGCTCTCGAGTTGCTCACGCATGAAGAGGTATGTGTTCAGTCTTTTTCATTAGTTGCTTTTTTTAAGAGGTTCAGCGTTCCTCACTTCCGCCTACAATTTAATACCCTTGAAACAAGCAGATTGGTTAGGGGAGAACATCTTCATTCGATGAGTGTTGTGAATGTGTGCAGAGAATTGTGGTTATATGGGGTCAATAGCGTCTACTCAGTCACGAGGTCGGCGTGTGCTGACCGCTGTTTAAGGAGTTAAACGTTTCTAAGAAGTGTTTTATCGTAGTCTCTATAAAGCTTTATTTTGAGCTCATAAGGATGTTTATCTGATGTTATAAATAGTTCTTGAAATTATGACTGAGGAGTCACGTCAGATGTAAATCCCGACTACTTTGGAAGTGAGGTGCTGCGAAGTTAGGTGCAAATTCTTCCACGAAAACGCTCAAATGTTGTCTGGTCGAAGGGGTGGCTGCGTTTCAGGTCTTTTATGCCCTGACGTTGACAGTGGAATGTTAATCCGCTCTCATCACAATCACAACAAAGTAAAGTCCACCTGAGATTGTGCGCAAATTGTCATTACTGACCACCCTTGGTCAACTTCAGCTAGGTGGAGGGTACGAGAGGGAGGAAAAAAACGGCAGGAGAGGGAGCCATTTCATAAGCACTATTGTGGTATCTTTTTCTTCTTTTGTTCAAACAATTTATTGACTGTTGATTTTGAAGAAGAAAAATGCACCTTTCTCTGTTACCTGTTCAACGTGCCACAATGTTCTTACTTCTGAGCTGCTTCTTAACCAGGTTACTTTGATAACTAGGGTGTTTGAGAATGGATGCTTAGTGACAATGGCAACAATTTTCAGTGTAATTTTGACATTTCTAGCCTTTTTATCTCATTAACTATGAGATTCTAGCTCGAGACCAATCATTGGAATCTGTGGATGGATGTGTGCTATATTACGTTTCAGTAACGCAACAGGAGGGAAGTGGTCTAAACGGGCTAAATTAGCCTCGTTTTAAATCTCTTTCTCGTTATGCAGAATTTCTTCTTTACTTCGCATTAAAGTCTCTTCGACCTTTCCTCCTTTCAGGCTCACCACTGGAGGTGGTACTTCTATTTTCTTATGCAGAACAGCAGTTGGATAACAGTTTTGACGAGTATGGCTTTGTTGTTTGGTTTTTCAAACTTTACAAATGACCTGATTATGAAGAACCGATTCCATATTTATTGCTTGAAAGAATGGTGGTGGATGTTTGCGGAGCCAGGACGTTTTTCTTTAATATTCAGCAATCGTTTGAAGATCTTTTTAACAATGAATGCTTGATAATAGTAATTCTAGTTCAATTTTTGTCCTCGTCGTAGTGACTTTATGATACTCAATCTCAAGATGCATTGTCATAGTGTTGAGGCGTCATGTTACGCATTTCAGTCTCGACAAATGGGATTTAATTCCTCCGCTGGTCTAAACTGTAGAAATAGGTGGCACTCGTTTTCATATACCTTGTTGTTTACACCACAGTCGTCTTCATGCCTCTATTCCATGCAGAAAATTGTCATGTCCATCACTAAAGACAAGCTTTACTTTTGTTTACCACATACCCCATCAGCATCTCAGGGGAGAGCCGTCCTCTACAATCCAGACGTTTTAGTATGGCACAAACACTTGGAAAGCCGAGTCTGTCAAATAGGTTGTCAAAACTTAAAACAGTGTCATTATCCTCGAACGATGCGCATACTTCATTGTTTTAAAATCAACCAATCTATTTAACATGCGATTTGTTGCAACCAGTTACCAGGAGCTGATAAGGTATGCGTTTCATATATTTGTGGTTCTGAGCACAGATGGGAAATTTGAGGCCTCGCATAAATGTGACGCTTGTATCATGCGCTTTAATTGGAAGAAAATAACATGATAGAGCCTCTGGGACTGCCAAGCATTCACATATACCATACCATATCGGATTGTGAAGTATTGCATCAAAGAAAACGCCAGCCATTTGTAATTTTAGTATTTTAATATAATTGGTGTCCTTGTATTCGCTTTTCAGACAGGGAGCTTCTTGGTGCGAGACAGCGTGACCCAGCCGGGCTGTTGGGCGCTCTCGGTGCGAGTGCCAACCAACGTCAATTGTGTTGGTATCACTCATTACCTCATCCAACACTCTAAGCATGGCGTCAAACTCAAGGTGCGTTCTTACCCTCCTCTTTCTGACTCCCTATTTGCTTTTTTGTGTTTTTCACTACTTGCCATCATATCCTGCTGCATTGTTTGAACCTCGGAGTGCTCCCTCATTAGGAGGAATGCACAATCCGGTACCGTCTTAAAAGTAGTAGGCTTCCTATGTTCCTGGACTGGGTAGCGATTTGTCAATTTTTGAACCCGATACCAGGATGCTCATGCATCCGAGTAATAGGTTTTGATTTGAGCTTCAATGCTTTTCTTGAAGTGTTTTCCCTTGGCAAATAATATCAAAGTAACCAAATAACCCCATGTAAATTAAAACTTCAGTGTCCTATTTGTACTTATTCTTGTTGGGGCAATGCACTAGCACAGAGGTCAAATCTTATAATGCTGTAGCATTTAACTTGCAGTTTAAAAGTTAAAATATTCCATTTATGCATTTTTTTCACCAGTTTCGCTTTTGTTTACACTAACAGCTTAGAGGTTGGGGAGTTGGAGGGAGTTGGCTAGGCGACATGACCGTCATGCCACTCCATGTTTGCACCAAATCTCAGGAAGCTGGAAAAGCTCATGCAGTTTCAAATAAATTCAACATCGAAGCGAACAAACATCGAGGAATGATGCAATTCAATGCCATTTTTTACAGCCATCTTGGGTTGCTCTTGAATGGGGAATCAAATATTTGCACAACTCAAACCCCTTGATTTTTTCTTTTGAATATCATCACTGCTTGGTTTGGTGTTTACTTTTGAAATTTTTTTTCCATCTGAAAAGAAGACCTAATTTATACCATATAAATCTGTTTTTCTGAGGATAACGTGCCTAATTGTAATATTCAATGCATTATAGGATCTCGTGCCTTCTGATATCCTAGGAAAATCATGTTCAATTTCAATGTTATTTCACAGGCTTTTTATTGGACTATGTGCAAATTACCCCCACATATCCCATACATGTTCATTGCAACATCCCCACCTCTGTACCTCAACTATTAATTGTCCAGGATCGCTCGCTTTGGAATATGTGCGAATTAAAATTCTTAGCTTTTCAGGCTAGTTAAATCTCTCTACCCAACTTCCAAAGCCAAGGCTAATGGTGGTAACTTTCTCCGGGGAATAGAACGTCAACTTTATTTCCCAAGTGGATGTGTGCTCTCACTTCCTCTCATATCTTTTTCCCCATTTTTACCACACTGCTGTTTCTAAATGCCGACCTCTAAATTTAGCATCTTATTGTATTCATTTGGTGTGTCAAGGAACAAGTACTCTTGGAACATGCCTGTCTTTCCTTTCGTCCATCGGTTCTACAAAATTGGCAAAAGTATTATATCAAAGAGGCTGCCTACTAAAACAATTTCAGTAAAATCAGTAGTTCAAGCTATAATGTTGACTGGAACAATAGAGGTACTGGCCGTGGATACATTTTCTTTGGGTCCATTTGCTCAACTACTAATTAGTAGCCGTAAAAACAATTGCTCTGTTTATATAAAGTGGAAAACACAAGGCCTTTTGAAGTATACAGATGACATTTTGTAATTTTCAAATCAGCACCTTGTATGTATTGTTTTTTTGGCATCCAATTTTAGGGTCTGGATAAGGAGTGGCCCTCCCTTGAGGCATTGATAACCCATTTGACAGTGATGCCCGAGATGCTGCCCTGTCCGCTGCGTTTGCCGCCCGCAGCCCATTCAGGTGGTGTCGGTAGCAACCACCACCAGGCTTCGAACCCCACCTTCACGGAGGAGGAAGAGGAAGAGGAGGGAGAGGGGGCAACGGGAGCATTGGGGATGGTGGAAAAGGGATACGAAGAGTACCAACGGCTCTCAGACTTCTCCTCTATGCTGGCCGACATGCAACCTGCTTCAGCTGTGCCTCACCTCTTCCGGTAACAGACAAGTTCCCTCTCTGTTTATCGGTGTACATACACGCAAATACACATCTACCAACTCTCAATAGGCGCGTATTTTGACATTTTTCATCTTTCGAGCCTTTCATTACTTCCCCTCGCCCACGATATGTTAGAGCTTTCAATAGGTGGAGACTGCTTTGTCCTCTGCCCCTTTTCTTCCCTTCAGTAGTCATTTAACGCTCGATTTTCCCATCTCCCTCATGCTATCCCTCTACCTATATAACTAGTTATCGAAATATAATTTGTGCAATGCTGCTGATCGGTGTGTTCGGTGGAGCAACTAGTCACTAATATGCCTCTTGCTCGGCGTATCGCCCGTAATGCCGTGGCTTTTAGCCTTGTTCTTCCAAAACGTGGGTCTTTCTTGGGGATTCCTCTGCCAAGGATTTTGAGGATTCGTGTTTGTAACTGAGATGCTTGCAATGTTCTAATATAGTTGATTTCTAAAAAGGACTTCTTATTAATTTTCATGCGACATGAGAGGTTTTAAGACTGGCTTCCAGATTTACGGTTTCAGCCAGTGATACCTCAGGAAGTCCCATATGAGCTCTTCTGAGGGCTTGAAATAGCTTTGTAGTGTACGAAGATGCAGTCAAATTAAAGTTTTAACCTCTCCCAAAGCAAGTTCTGAAATGTTTTACCACTCTCTTGTACCTGTTTGATCGCATAGCTTCGGACAACAAGGGGCGTAGTTAACTTCGCCGTTGTTGACCAAGGGTGGAAAAAGGGCGCACAGTGTCGTATTAGATTATAGGCTGGCGAGTGCTCTTGAGCAAGGACAGTTGGTTTTTACAACCAGGATCTAATGAGCCAATCTTGAATTGATTTTATCGAATTGGAGGAGTTAATTCTAGAAAAGATGCTGGATTGGTTGGGAAAGGAAGAATAGGGCGGATGAAGTTGTGCCGATATGCGTTACCCTTGCTTAAGATTCCACAAAACTTAACCTTTTTACACAATCCCTCGGCTGGCATCAGAAGTTTTGGTTTCATTTAGGTGATAAGGTAATCTAGCCCTTATGCAACTGGTGGAATTAAGCCTGCAACGCCTGTTATCAGCAGCGGTGAACACGAGGTCATTGTTAATGTTTCTAACACTGAAGAAAGTTATTTTGTGTTTTCAAAACTCAGCTTTTACCCGCAACTGAACTGGAGTAGTTGAGAAGTCGTATTTCTCAGTTGAGGGATCACTCAATATTACTGTTCTGTTTGATGGAGGTGTAAGCAAATAATGGGTATTTTTTGAAGCAAACACATTTCTCACTCACCTAACTAGTAATTTATTTTTGTATTCAAGTATGGAAATGTTAAACACCTGAAGAAGGTATGCTGGTAGCCTACATAGGTTGAGCCGAGTTTCATGAAACCTTAAATGCATTTGGTTCATGTCACATCAGCCGTGCACTAGTTCCATATTTGCAAGTGGCGCTGGTACCACCGCTTTTGACAGACAAAACAGTGGGTTCATTTGTCTTAAAAATGGTGGTACTCTTAGTTTTTTGGCACAGGCCCTCTATTCGGTTGGGCGTATCTTGACTGCAGGAAAGATTCATCTTCACCATGGTCGCATTAAGCCGGGTAACATGAAAGTGAGGCTTACACACACGTTTCTGACTAGTGTAAATGGCTTAGCAATAAAGCGAACACATAGAATGCATATAATGACAATTGTGACAGCTTTCACAAGTTCACCGAAGATGGATTTTCAATCATAGATTGTCGCTGACCCTTACGGTGAACTTACTGTTGATCACTGTCACGCCATATTGGCCTTTTTAGATAGTGACACGCTCCAGACAGCAGAAATCCTAGGGGCTTTCAGAGTCAATTAATATGCCTTGACGATTAAAATGCCTAGCAAGTGAGCTAGCCAGCATCATCCAGAAGCCTTTCACTTCGCATGCAATCTATTTCAGTGACACTTTACGTGCCCTCGGGTTTGAACACACCGCATTTGGCAAAGCGGATGAAATTGAAGTGGCCTTAAAACATTACACTTCTCAGGCGATTTTATTGACATTTTTAGGCAACCCACAACTTACTGCTCAATCTAACTCCATTCCTTCATTGATACTTAAGTAAAGTCATTGGGAATCACTGTTTAGACCAATTTGATTAGGGCTCTAATTTACTCATTTGTTGCTACTACCAGTAAAAACATGGGAATTTAGTATTGACGGCTCTTATTTATGTGATATTCAACTCCTGAGCATTCAGACTGTGTGAATTTGTAAAGAGAATATCTTGAACAGTAGTTGAGTGAAAGAAAAATTTAGGCGTGCATTATATTACCTTAACACTGAAGACTTAATAATGCCTTTCCGTATTTCACTATTCAATCGTTGATGAAATTATTATTGTAAGTCAGGTGGCTGGGTTACCTTTCAGTTTTGCTGTTGTTTTTTGCCTTGGGGCTTCACTCTTGTCTTTCTGCAATTTCAAACCATGACATGCTGAATTGACATTCTGACTTAATTTCGACTTTGTCGATCGAATTTGACAAAAGTGACAAACTGCAAAGGAAGTTCCTAGATTTTGAGGAAGTTTGTGACATTATGCATTGTGGTGCAGGTCGGTAGCCATAACCACAACGCTCATCTGCATTTTAAAATTGGCACTTTTAATTATGTTCATCAATGACCAGCGTCTTGTAAAGTTGGTATCAAGTGCATACGCGACCGTACGCCTAAGCGAATGCACAGGAGTCGGTGGAACGATGCATGAACCCTCAGAGTGTGAAGTATCCTAATTACTTAGGATGGATCGTGAAGAAACGCCCTTTAGATTGTGTAACCAAGATTTAAAAAGAAATCAATTTTGGTGGAATCCTTCCACGTCTTGAACGTGCTATGGCTTTTGGCTAGTGATCGTAGCTATTTGCGGTGATCACACACCATGAGTGCAAAAGTGCCAGTACTCAAGTGCTCCTTGAAGTGTTGTGTTTAAATCTGAGTAAAATGAAAAAAACTGACTCCAGTAAGGATTACATGCTCATGTGAAACTAAAATATGTATGCTCTATTAGCACGGTAAATTGGTAAATCGAACGATTTTCCACAGTACCAAGTGCCTTTGACAAGGGAAGGTGCAGTTTGACTACATACTAGCATAGCTTGTCATCAAGCCATTTTTAAGGTCTTTATTCTTTGGCGCTATCTTGTAGTGCTCATTGGCAAGTGATTTACGCAGAAGGGCTCATGATCTGTCATTCTTGCCTTGTTTCATTCTACGAAACCGTATTTTGAATAGCCTACACTGCTTTCGACTGAAAGCTGACTGTAGTTTTAGACGCTCCAGTGAATTATTAGCCCGTATCAGCACCAATACTCTCTTTAGCTAGAATTTTTATCCCTAAGCGCTAACGCTTTTAGCTCACTATTGAAGAGGTTTTGTAGAACTGTCTTCATAGGAAGAACAGAAGAGTACTGTAATTCTTTTTCCTTTGGCAGTGAGCATCAAGGAATGCTAAAGTTAAAACATACAGAGGCAGAGTTGGATCTGATTTACTGTAAAATTGATAGGGGCTTAGGATTAAATTGCATCGAATGGCTATTCGAAGTCCAGCTAGCGTTGACGACTACCTTTGAGGGGTAACAGTTTGTTGGTCCCTTAAAGTACTAACATTTGCCTCTTCTAATGAGCTGTATTACTTTTCAACGCAATTTATAGTTAAAACAACCACACCACTAAGTAATGGTCACAATGTAAACGGGATAAGAGTAACCACAGAGTCGAGGAGGCCGACTGGATTGGACAGGCAATTAAGTAACACAGCGCCAATCCGTGAATGCACCAAACTCTTCAGCAGGCAAATCAGCCTCACGCGACGAATCCAGTACCCACAAAAGCAATTTGTCACACCCGCCTCCCTTGATATGGATTCACACGCAAACCACCAATGTTGCATGCAAATGACTTCGCGGTTAGGCAACAGCTATGGAATTTTCTGCTTTTTTCTCTTGCTCTCCAGTTGGACCACAATAGCCGCCGCATATTTGGAGATCAAAGTGTTAGCTCGGAAACAAAGTCGGCTAAACCGCGTGAGCACGTGTGAAATTATGGTTTGTAAACGTTCACAGCGTTGCTGGATTCACCTTACACAAAAAGCAGCACGGAGTCGAATCACCAATATAAGTTTAAGTCGAGCAAAGTGTATCTTGATTACATTGCTTTAGTGGGCAATTGACGATAACTGATTAACAAAACCTTAATTTCCCAAAGTAATGTCTGGCTGCAATGGGTAAACGCGGAACCTAGTCTCGTCTACAATAACGCCATCTCTGGAAAATGGTAGATTTGAAGGAGTAGAGGACCAAAGCAAGCGAAGAAAAAGGAGAACACGATGGATGACAGGAAAAAAAGCACATGGCGACAGATCATACGATTCCCATCCCACCCTCACAGAGCGACAGTGGCAGTGTAGCGTAAGCTTGGCGAATTTCTTTGCGGGTTGTTTTCAAAACCCAGTCACATGATGCGTTGTAGATTCGAAATAACTCACGCCTCGAGATTTACCCTCGTAGCTATTCCCCCGCCTATAGTAAACAGGACAATCCTCATCGGGGGGAACCACACCACATCCAAGTAATAAAACTGTGAAAGCAAGTCAAATTCCCATTACAAGCGACATCATCAAAAAAGAAGTAATGGGAACGTCTTTGTTGAAGGAAGAATTAAAATCCGTAAGCACGTAATCCTCCACTCCAACGTAACGTCGACTTTACATTCAAAATATACGTCATCACTGATGGACGAGAACTGAATAGCACTCAAATAATGCCTGGGAAGGAGGTTTAAAAGTGCTCGAAGATGCATTTCCTCCAATAGGCTGAGCAAGGACAAAAAGAATTACAGAGTGTGTTATCGACATCCCTATATGCTGCAAAAGCGGATTTTTAACAGTGCAAAACATTTACAAATACCTTGGGGTAAGTAGAGCGTGATAAGCCATGAGATAAGATAAAGAATAGGAAGAGGAGAAAGAAGCATAAACTAGAGAGATGTACACACAAGATTAAAAGCACGTCGGACGGTAGGACAAGTGGACGCAGACAGGCAGGTGGCAGAAAAAAAGAGGGAATTTATAAATGCGGAGGGGGGAAGAGACGAGGATGGTTACTAAAAGCGGCAGTGTGCGCTGGTATGAAAGACGATGTGGCATATGGAGAGCGGCAACGGAGGAGGGAAAGATTCGCGAAGAAAAGTGCGCATGTCAGTACTCGCCAATTCACATCATGGGGAGGGTGGATTCAGCTGTTGGTGGGCATACCAGAAGTACTCATGATGGTACTCCTGTGCCTCGTTTTCTGAGGCACCACCAGAAGCACTGTCAGTAGAACTGGGGGTAGAGACCACAGGCTGGGTAGCCATGGTCTTTTTTGAGGGAGAGAATGAGAAGACTGGGGTGTCATTGTTGACCACTCGAGTGGGCTGATAAGGATTCGAGATGAGACGACAGGCGGGGGCTCGTTGAATGCGACGTCCATTGCCGTTGTAGCCTGCGGAGACGGAACGCAGAGGACGTGAAAGGGAGTCGTGGCCGTTCTGCTCCATAGCGGTCGCATTGGGTGTATAGGGCTGGCGCGGAGGTGTAACGGTGGAGGAGGGAGAGGAGGATGGGGGCAGGATGGATGGGCGCTGATGAGAGGAGCGGGGTTCGGTGTAGTAGGTAAGTGGTGGCGAAGGCGCCGTTTGTGGCACTTGCTGTTGCTGCTGATTGAGGCTGTTCAGATAGGCCTGCAAAGTGGTAGTATTGGTTGTGCTATGGCCGCAAGGAGAGTCGCCCGCGTCCCCACCAATATCGTTGGTGCCAAGGCGGGGGTAAAAAGCGTTCCGACGCACGTCCACCGCCACTGGTGGTACCATTTCAGATGCCTCCGGGTGCTTTCGACCCGAGGAAACGCGCGGACGGCTCCGGTTGCGCAGTATCACATTCTCAGGACTATCACCACCACCTTTAAAATAGAATAGTGAATACACTGCTTTGAGTAATGAATAACACGTTTAACTCTGGACAGATGACTATTTTTTATGGTAATTAACAGCACCAGGTTTTCAACATCTGAGAAGGATTAAATAAATGAGATAAAGTATCCAATTTCAAAAATCCGAATAATTTAAAACGTTACCGTTATGCATGCGTACAATGTGTAAAAAGCACTGATAATTTTTACGACTACAAAATGAAAAAGGGGCTCTTCACTGTTCGCCCAAATAATCTAACTAACGCGTTTCAGAAGGAAACCACAACTTTTGATGAAGGAACGGAATATAGTCAAAAACAAGCGTGGCTTTGATACACAGACACAAGCAGGATGGCACGGCGTAACACAGCACTTCGAAGTCAATTGGAGATGAAGGCGAAACAGGGCGATATTAACAGCCGCAACAACAAGGCTATTGTTAGAGGTAACTATGGTTTAATTTCACACATCTCAATTCAGCGGAAAAGAACTTCCTAGGGAGACTCTAATGACTAATAGGCAGAAGTGTGCAATGCCACTAGCAAGATGATAAATGATTTCGTGCAGTTTGGTGGCACATTGTGGATGTAGTGTAACGAGACTTCCTCCTTCCCACTCCACAATCAAATTGCACGTGTGAATACATGCCTGCTGTGGCCCCTAAGTGACCACATGGTTGCACACTAGAAGAAACTGGGAGGTTTAAGAAAGCGTTGCATTCTAAACAAGACCTGAGGTGTAATTCAGTATGTGTAGTGTTGTTTTTTCGATAATAGCAATATTTCTAGAGAATACATTGAATTTTGCGACTATCAGACCGTCAAAGATTGGAAAATAATGTGCAGGATTTAAAACAAAACCAATCATACTACTAGCAAGTGTAGCTTGCAAAGAATTTGGCACTCTACGATCCAAAAGTAGGGAGTAAATGCGATTATACCATAAGTAGCTCAACCACAGGATGCTAAAAATAGATGGTCAAAAGAACCGATCGTAGGTCCGCCACAAATGTGCAAATTCGGGTGTAGAAAACTGATACCACCCAAAACCCTTAAACAGCTGAAGAATCCTACTCCGGCAAAGAACGAACTCACCGGAAGAGTTAAAACCGACCACGCCGGGTCTTTCGATAGCATTCAAAAGTGGCGGCGGAGTCGGAGAGGCGTGACGGTGGGATGAGGCGCCAGGCGGTGGAAGAGTCTGCGACCTCACAGAATTGTATACCAGAGGCTTTTGCCAGTTAGGATGTATGCAGTCCTTCCGGAGCAGGTGAGCTGGCGGATCAAATAGAAGAGGAGCGGGACTGCGCCGAGTCAGTGAGGTCTCACGCTGATTACTCCGACGTGCATCGATTTCGGAGTCTAACCAGCTGCGATTTCCGTCAGGACTAAGAGTGACGGTGGAGGATGATGGGGAGATGGGGGTGTGGCGACCCTCATTGTGGTTACCAGTAGGATTTAATCGGACGGTGCGATACCAATCACCAACATCGAACGGCTCCCGGTTGTAGGTGAGAAAGAGGTTGGTCTTACGAAGTGCTCCATACTTGGGACGTTGGACGTAATCTTTGATCAAGCTAAATATCGAATGACAAAGTAGGGCAAGCTGTCACAGTGTCATTTCCACCAATCCAGATTGTGAAAAAAAATAAAGATTTCAGTTGAACTAATCATACTCTATGGAGTAAACAACTCCAGTTGAATTCCTAAGTTTTTGCACACTTCAATATTTACTTTGGCAAGGGGAAAGCAACCGGATGGTAGCCAAAAATACACCAAGTATCATCGTAGAAAATCAAATAAGGGAAACAATAGAATCTGAACTGGCAAAATGAACACGCCACTACCAAGCGTCAAATCCACTTACCACCTGTCCACAAAAGAACAAAAGTCAGCTGAATAGCGCCCATCATTTGGAAGCTTAGGTGGCGGTTCTTCAATGATTTTACTGAGAATGGCAAATTCAAATTGGGAACCTTTGTACGGGAAAGACTTAAGGGCAAGTTCGACTAACGATATTCCGAGAGACCATATATCAGCACGAACGTCATATTTGAATTTTTCTAGCCTTTCCGGTGCCATATAGCCTATACAGCCGAGCTGATTGGAATTCGCAATAGAATCTTTAAGTTGTCCACTTATTCCGAAATCACATAATTTAATATCGCCGGTAGAGCTCAAGAGCATATTTGATGGTTTGACATCTAGAACCAAAGTGCATAAGAAATAGAGCATACCTCGGTGCATCATGTTATGCTCTCTCTTGAGGTAATCCAAAGCTTTTACAATCTATGAGGATAAGATCGTAAAAAAAAACATACCGAAACCGCAATTTTGCCAAGAACATACTCGGGAAACGGTTCAGCAGTGTCCCGCATGAGGTTATCAAGAGATGTTGACATAACTTCCATGCAAATCCACACCTCAGACTTAAAAGCATAGATAGCACCTCCACTAGCTTACCATAGAGAAGAATATTCCCACACATTTGACGATATTGGGACAGCCAACACATTTTGTAACAACGTCCAAATCCATCATAATTCTTTTGTTTTCCACAGCACAGGTCGATGACACATGCATTTGTTTGACAGCCATGACAAGATCCTTTCTTACTTTATGTCGCATTTTTTTAACTACCCCGCAAGTTCCAGCACCAAGTTGACCCTCGTCGATAAAGTCATCTTTGGTTGCGGTAATCCTCTAGGCGATTAATGTATAGGAGCAGCAAACCTCAAAATTGTAGCAGAGATCACCACTTTTTTTGAGAAGGATTTCCTTGAGTTGGTTAAATTCGATATGCTCCGAAGGAGGTGGGGTTGACACATCTGGAGGACGACGCCCGTGGTATGGAGTCGCCGAAGCAGGACGGCGTAAAATCACTATTCTATTAAATAACAAAAAAGTAGCGTACGCTCAGTTGGTCGTTGACACTTTTGTGGGGTTCGACGTGATGCTTCAACAACACTGTTAATCACGTCTTGCGGTGCTAGACGAACCAAGTTCATCGAGAGCTCTCCAAGACAAATACGAAAGCAGTGCCAATGCAGTGAAAGGGACCAAACAACTTCAAACGGGTCCATGAAACCTAAACATGCTAAAGGATAATACTATTCCACCACTAGAAATCACATAAAATCCAAAGCTGATTATTTTAAAATTCCTTCATGTAAACCAACCTTGTAGGTTACAGCGGAAGCAAGGATAATCTCACATATTTGAAAAACTAACTTAATTCCTTTGAAAGTGAATCGCTCTGTAAGCTAAATACCAACACTTTATAAAGCACACCATGCGGTATTCAGCTACTGTGGCCATGAAGGCCCACCGCTTAGAATAACCCTTTTATATAATCTTTAGATCCGATTCGATGATATTGATGTGATTTAGCGAAAGTTACTGACAATACACATTTTTTGCGTCAGTGTAAGTGATATCACAAAATAAAGACATGCACAAATTTCGCCCAACTGGCTGCAAGTTCCATTAAAACAGCAGACCTTCCAGATGCTGTTTTATTTGATTTTTTGTGGAATCACACAATGCTGCCCCTTGTGTGCGTAAGACCGAAAAATCTGTTATAAATTGTTAGATCCGGCAAAGATATGGTGGCAGCCATTACTAACATTTGGCTCTGAATGCTAAAGTGCACCATAAATTAACCCTTATGCCCTAATACATAAGAACCATTTAAATATTTTTAGGTGCAGTTATTAATCATAACGTTTGTAAGGATAGGAGTGCACTGAAGTGCTTTGGTTAATTTTTCACAAATACCTAGTGGTAATCAGGTGCATTGTTTGTTTAAGGTGGCCTGCTAGTCAACAAATTGGCTTGGTAACGTTTCCTTTTCTGCACTTCAGGTAGGGCTTTCATGCGTCAAATGCGTTACTTTGTCCAATATTCTGTTAGTTTTTCCGCGAACTTGTTTTGTTTTAGTGTTGCAGGTTGTAGCTGACCCACTGTTTTTACTCTTGAGGTTTCTAAGAGGCAGTATCTTAACATAGATGCCACAAATGCATCTGATTGCTAAGATATTTAATAGAATATCGGAATTTATTCAACGAATTATCTCTTTAGGATAATGGCACTCAACACTCAGTCAACTGAGAAGTCAGCTCCTCTCGTACTTCCTCCCAAGGATGAGAGACTAAAAACCATTGATGTTATGTCCATAAAGGGCAATTCTTTTGAAGATTTCTGCTTGAAAAGAGATCTACTTAAAGGGATATATGAAAAGGGATGGTCTACTCCGTCGCCAGTACAAGAAAGCAGCATACCAATGGCTCTTTCTGGGCGTGACATACTGGCCCGAGCGAAGAACGGGACTGGAAAAACTGGAGCATACTTGGTGCCAATTCTTGAGCGTATTGACGCTAGCGTTAACAAACTTCAAGCTCTCATTCTCGTTCCTACTCGTGAGTTGGCTCTACAAACTAGCCAAATCGCCACGGAAGTGTCGAAGTACCTCGGAATTAAAATTATGGTCACGACTGGAGGCACAAATCTTGCTGATGATCTTGCGCGTCTAGATGGCGCCGTACATTGCTTGATAGCGACTCCTGGTCGCATAATAGATTTCCTTAACCGCTCTATATTAAAAATGGAACAATGCAGTACTCTTGTCCTCGACGAAGCAGATAAACTATTGTCTTCTGGATTTAATGTAATTTCCTCGTAATTCCTAGTTTTTGTGTAGGAAACGATTCCTGATGTCATTAAAAATCTCCCCGAAGATAGGCAGATTATGCTGTATTCGGCAACATTCCCTCTGTCTGTGCAGTCATTTACCAAGGCTCATTTAAAAAATCCCTATGAAATCAATCTGATGGAAGAATTAACACTGAAGGGTGTAACACAGTTTTATGCTTACGTTCAGGAAAAGCATAAGGCAAGTTGTTGTGCTTATTTTCACCCTGTTGTGTAGGTTCATTGTTTGAATACACTTTTTTCCAAACTTCAAATCAATCAGGCGATCATATTCTGTAACACAGCACAACGCGTTGAATTACTGGCAAAGAAGGTGACTGAGCTAGGCTACTCATGCTACTATATTCATGCAAGAATGCCTCAACACTATCGAAATCGTGTCTTTCATGATTTTCGCGCTGGTCACTGCCGAAACCTCGTGTGTACTGATCTGTTTACTCGCGGCATTGATATTCCTTCCGTTAACGTTGTGATCAATTTTGACTTTCCGAAATATGCAGAAACATATCTTCACCGTATTGGACGCTCTGGGAGATTCGGACATCTTGGTGTTGCTATAAATCTTATTACTCATGATGACTGCTATCACCTTAAGGTTATAGAAAACCAGTTGCGCACGGAAATCAAAGCCATTCCCAAGGATATAGACAAGCGCCTTTATGTCTCAGAATACCAGAATGTTTCCAGTCTGGACGAAGAAACACGCAGAGCTCTCTCCATGGGTCTGGGAATCCCGGAAGAAACTCATGAACAGGTCCTTTCAGGGACCGTTAGTACGATGCCCATTGAAGTTGAAAATAAGGCATAAATGGGTTCCGCGTTCCTCCAAAGCGTCAAACATTTGCCAAAAGTTGTTGCATTTACTTTCAGTTTGGAGATTTATTTTTTGACTTACCTTTTTGTAACTTGGAGATACCCCTTTACAGCTTTACGTTTGCATTTACTACACACACTCACCTACTCTAGAGACTTTTGTCTGTTATTTTCCGTTTGTGTTAATAAAATTGTTACTCGAATCCTATCTTTTCTGCCATAATAGTACTGATACGCTTTGCTTATCCACGTGAAGGTGGATGAAGTTCCCCTTGATCGCTATTGAACGTGGCTAAATTGGCGTGCCTTGGGTCTACGTCTTAGTTGGGATTGTGAATATTCAAGAAATCTCGAGCTTATTTGTATCATATTCATACAATGGTTGGTGATCTGGGTGATGTCATTCGAGCTTAGACATGATTGCGATTGGGTTTGGTTGAAAAGGTTTATTATCGACTGGTGCATCACTGGCTGTGCTGTGGATTTTCCTGGTCCCTCGCCGTGTCATTGCACACAAGGAAACCGGTGGACATTTTTCGGTTAATCACACTCAAGTTAATGCGGCGAGTTTGATTACAATTATACATGATATTTTACGCTATCTGGTGAACTACAGTAGTGCTGGCATAAATTTATATCCGTGCATGGTTTTAAGGCGTATGACCTAAACGCGTTTTTAGTTTTACAGGGATAAAAAGCGTCCATCTGCTTAATCATGCTTTGGATTCTCTCCTCAAATTTTAGGGGTTTGTAAACGTAGTCGTTTGAACTGCGCATATTACCATTTCAAAGGTACTGAATGGGTCCCATAAGTCTTTCATTACCTTCTAGATGGCCGAGACCGGTGTTGAAGCGGAGTTTGCTCTTGAGGAACCCAGTTTAAGATATCATCGACTGGAGAATGATTTGCCGGGAAGCCTTGCAAAGACTGAGATCACCACCGTTGCCGCCCACTGGAAGGTACCCTATAAATTTCCAACGTTTACTCGTTTCTCCTCGTCTGCACTCATCACACTTTCCCATCCTTAGTTCATCGTTTTGGGCCACAAGGATGGAACTGTGAACATCTTTGATCACCTCGGAAATCTCATTCAAAATGGATCATACAAGAAGGTAATACTGTTTATTTAAATGTCACTTGCTCCACCTGCCTCTTTCACTCAGTTCTCCTTTTTTTTAGCATTTCCGTCCAATCAACCAAATCAGCATATCAGACGATGACAACTTTGTTGCCAGCTGTGCCGACGATGGTTTCGTAGGTTCATTCCTGTTCACCTTCTCATCCAATTCAGGTGTTCATCTATAGCCTATTGGAACCAGAACACAGCGAATTAATTAACCTCAGTCGCCCTGTTAAAGCGATGGCTATTTCTCCGATATATTCAAAAACAAGAAAACTTATTACTGGTGGAAAATCTGTGGGTTTTGTTTTTTTGTCAGCTTCAATATCTCATACACGAATCACCCCTTTCGTTTGTTGTACTGTTTTCCGAACTTCTTCTGACGTTTATAAAAACCTGGGGTCTTGTACAACTACTGTCAACGGAGCCTTCGATTGTTCGAGTTTGCGTGAACTATTTAGTGCTTAGATCGGCACTAAATGATTCCTGCCTAATACGGACTCTGCTGATAAATTAGGACTAAACGTTGATTCATTTTCGGCCCTATTATACCGTAACTCAGGATTAAATATAATTCGGGTGTCAATTAGCCGTAGAACCAAGGAATCGTGCATTATAGGTGGTAAGTTCATTTTTGAATATGGTTTTCACTAAAAATTGCTCCACCAAAGGAGACTTCTGGGGTTGCATTTTATCTCATTTCTGCTAGCGACTCACCAATCAGTTCTTGTAAAGGTGTCTCCCCGTTTTGTTCTCAAATAACGGATTTGGCTTTAAGTAAACGGTAGAAATGGATACTGCCGCATTTCATTTTCAAGTTACAGAAATGTTGAGCAATCAAAGATTTTATTAATGCTTTGCCGCTTAAATGGACATAGGTATTCGAGGAATTACACCTCATGGTTTTATGGAAACTTTTGAAGCATAAATAACGATTCCAGATCGCAGCTGCGATTAATGATTTGGGAAAAGGCAGATTCTCGTCAAATTATTTCTAGTCAAGCTCTCCTCCCCACTGATGGACTTGTATTTGATGAGATTTTCATCGCTACTTTTTTTTTCCACTAGGTGACTCTTCATTCTCGTGGTGCCTTCGGCCGCCGCACGTCGGATCAGCTCTACGTTCCACCGGGAGGGGTGCAGACTATGGCCTGGCGTGGCAACGTCCTTATCTGGGCCGACGATGCTGTGCGTCCACCTTGTCCCCTCACCTATAAATTCCTCCAAGATAACCCATTTTTTCATTCGCCTACAGGCGGTACGTGTCTATAGCGTGCGTAGAAGGCAACTCATTAACTACATCCCCAAATTCCCGAATAATTTGGAGTAAGTTCTGCCTCCTAACATCGTCATGACTGAATTGTCTTTAAGGTGCTCTCTGATAATTGCTTACTTGAGTTGTGACTTATTCATAAATCCCCGTTTTATTCGGTGAATGGTAGCTGCACGAGTCAAGACAAACCTTGCTACACCTTCCGACGACTGTTTATACTGATGTTCTCGAATGCAATTCAACAGCCTTAAGCGTGGGCTGCTGGCGAACAGCGTTCGCCTCGCCGACGACTGATCCGTCTGTCTGGTTAAGTGCTACTCAGTGAGGCTGTCGTTGAGTGGAAAACCTCGTCAAGTTTTATAACTCTACAATCTGAAATTATTACTTTCCGCACTTGGATACTTATGGAATTCTAACAAACGAGAAGTTGGCTACATTAATTATTTATTAGCCCATTAAATTTCGGGATTGATTGTTCTTATCCCTGTTCACTAGATTAATTGGAACCGTCGGTTTTAATTGAGTCCTCCGGCACATTCGTCCACTTATCTCAATACCTAACTACAACTTGGAAAATCTTAATACGACTGAAAAATCCTAGAGCATCCTTTTTTACTTCGTCTTCATTGGTGAATCCGCATGCTTCAACTGTTTTACGCTCGTTTTGAATTCCAAGTGAAGTGGTGTACTCCGGTTTCACCACACGTGATGATGCGACCCCGAGAACTCTTTTCCTTCTTGTCAAAACGTTCTTTCAATTTAGTGCGCTGTTTAACTGTTCAGTAAGGGTCTAGACCAGACTGCTGTATTGGTACCAAGCGTGATTTGGCTATCAAAATTTCATATTTTTGTGAGTGATTACGTTCTCTGTTTCCACAATAAGGTTGACCTATTGTGCAATTTTTTTACACGAAAGAATTTGCGTGGATCAAGCACTAGAGATCAGGCAGGAACTTCATGCTCTGGATGAATATTTTCAGCGCTGATGCGGTGGACTAGGAACCACTACGACCGATATCGCTACTGACGTACAGATTTGCAGCTCCTTATTGCCTTAATGCAGTTTAAATGTCTTACTGCTGAGCGTCACAAGCACCAGGCTGCGCTGGAGGTCTTAATTAGACACGAGTACTTACCTCCAGGTTTTAAGCGGGTTCCTCGTTTACCACAGCCCGTTTCGGGTATACGCACCGCCACAGTTGCCTCCCATCTCAATTAAGGATATCTGGACTGGATTGACGGACATCTTTGATGTCATTCGAATGTTTTGCCCTGTATTAAATTATTTATTAAAACCGAGTCTAGTTTGTAACGGGTCAGCCTAAGAATACTTCGACTGGTCACTATTTCTGCTTCTGTGAAATTTTGACCAAAAGGCTAAAATAAGGCATTAAAAACCCTTGCTTTTCAACTGTGGCATTGGTTTTGTAGGAGTCAGTATTCGATTATGTTCCATTACAATGAAAAGAAATCAACCAGAAAATACTCCTTCCTTTAAGCAATGTCCTTGAAGGAAGCCTGAGGTGTCACCTCACCTGGTATTCTGACAGCTGTTTCCTGATTGGCTGGGAGAAAATTGTCCAGGTGTGCCAGATTCTGAGACCAAGCAGTCCTGCACACGAGGCCATCTGGAGCTCAACCGCCTCCAACGATGACAACGAGTCCATTGCATCCTCACATTACTCTGCCTCTATTGTAAGTGGTCCAGCACAGCCAAAAGAGTACGTTCAAATTGCTACTCAACTTGACTTGGGACGTGGCGAGGACAGAGGCGTGATTTGTGGCATTGCGACTCACCAAAACCGCATTCTCGTCCTCCTCTACCCACTGAAATCCGTTGAGAGCCTGCTGGTAGTGGGACCTGGAGGAGAAAGGTCGCCCCAGCTCCTTGTTGCCGATGTAGGCGACGCGCTGACCAATCCTTCCTGCCCTCTGAGTGAGCTTGATTTGATGTTCCCTGTGGAGGATGCATTCGAGGAAATAAGTCTGGAGGATGTTGAGCTTAGGATTCCTCCTGAACATGGCTTCCAAGGATTGGGATTAGGTAAGCCCCCAAATTTTATCCGAGAGTCGGTTTCGGTACCCGTATGCCTGGGGGCTTATCTGCGGGACAATTTAGATATTCTAAAGCATCGCTTTTCAGCATCAAGATGGGTTTTAACTACCATCTACTATCTATAAATTAATCAAATGTGTAGGGTAAATCCCCCTCAAGGTAGTTTGATACCGCTGTGTGTAATCGTTAGAAATTATTCGCAGGTAAAAAGTTTTTTCACTGATTTACCTATTAATGCCTACAGCAACTATCCCTGGGGAAGATACACACTTCGTCTACTCTCCAGTAGACATGGTTTATGCCCAAGCACTGTCCGCAGATGATCGGATAGACTGGTTTTTGGAACAGGATATGCCCCGACGAGCTCTTCAAATCGCCAATGAGTATCACATGGATTTGGTTCGTCACTCTCCCAAGGTCATCCGAAATCTCTGCTTCTTTTTTTGGCCCTTACTCGTATTTAACTTTATGTTTTTGCATTTGATCTTGCATAGCATGAATGTCTTCATGCACTCTAGATTTGTGATTTTGTCGCCCCAAGTTTTTTTTCTCGAGCTTTCTATTTTAAAGTCTTTTCCAAAGTTTCATTTTTTTTCTTGTGAAGCAGCTACCGAATACACTGTTCAGATCAAATCTGATGCTATAAACTCGGCTTCAGTGATTCATCTAAGTATTTGAAATTATGGGGTACTAAATCTCTTCGAAACCAAATAATTCAAGCGTTATTCCAGAGATAAAGGGGTTTTTTACGTAATTAGAATTTGCTGTCGGAGTGACGTCCTGTTGATATACTCTCCATTTGCAAGCATACATTATCAATTCATTTGTAAAGCAAGCCTTACTAAATAGACTTTTCTGGGATGCCTGTCACATCTCTATTATTGTGATGTATTTATTGAATGAAAAGTGGTGATGGTAGTTAAATGTATCATTTCAGAAACTAGGGATGGATTATCTAAACAAATTAATCGAGGATAAGAAATATCAGAACGCAGCAGGTCTCTGCAAACTCCTTCTCACTGATAAGGAGTCGTGGGAGGTTCAAATTTACCGATTTCTTCAACTCGGCCAACTTCATGTACGTTGCTCTCTCCATGGATTAGCTTTTAATCGGTCTTCGGTATTCCATCGCATTCCGCCTTCTAAAACACCTAGGTTCTTGTACCCTACCTCCCATCAACAAGAGATCTCATTGGCTCCTCAACCTATGAGGTCATCCTGATCGACCTTTTAAGCAAATCTCCACAGATGCTTTTGCAAAAACTCAAGGAATGGCCGCCGAACAGTGGTCTGTACTCCCCCGGTCCCATAATTGCGGCAATTCAGGGACAGATCTCTTTGTTTTCAACTCAAGGTACTTATCGACACTTTTTATTCTACCTAGTACTTTAAATGTGTTTACAGGAGACAGCAAGGATCCCGATATGAATGCCTTGTGGCGTGCACTGATTATCCTCTACGAAAATGCTGGTGAGCCGGAGCAGGCTCTTGAAATTTCTATCAGGCTGAAGGACTCTAGAACCTTCGACTTTCTACGGCGCCATCTACTGCCGGAGGGACGTGCTAGTAGTCGTTTCGGAGCGGTGGTTCGCAAACAGCTCATTCCTCTGTGCCAAATAGACATCACACGAGCAGTCCTTCTCATGATTGACTGCATGAGGGAGCTACCTGTAAGTCCTTCCTTATACACACAATCATGGAAAGTGGCCGGAAGTTTTATTACTCAGTACTCTTTCCTATAGGTTGATTTTGTTGTTGAAGAGCTCGATTCTCAGCCGCTGTTGCTCTTTAAGGTAAGCCATTTCGGTTGGCTAGTGGGTGGTTTGATGGTTCCAGTTTATCACTAAGTTTTTAAGGAAGAATATAACTAGTTCACATTTGGGCATGTGCAAACTCCTGTTTGGACTAGATGCTAAGAGTAAATGCGATTACAAGAATTGTCCTGTTACTAATCTCCACAGCTCTATTCAATCGAGATTTCTGGTCTCTTTATCCCATGGATCTGTCAACGCCGCCACAGATGTAGCGTTTGAAGGATTAAGCTTTAATATTGGACGGAGAGGCTGAGAGAGAATACCCTAGGTAACATAAGGTAGTTCCATGCTATCGGCTTGTAGACCAAATCGCGGGAAACAAGTTGAATGCTACTAATGGTAACGCCATTCCATTGCACAGCTCTCCCTCGACTTTTGAATGCCCTGCTCGGTGATGACTTGGATCACTCTTTTACTTCGGCCATCATAGGGTAGTTGGGTAAATCAAAACCACCCGCGAGATCAAAACATAGCTCGCGTTATGTTGCTGCACTACTGTATAAAAATTCCGAGTTGGGAAATGCAGTTTAGAGAGTGCCCTTTCTGTATCAATCGTTTTTCACTTGAGCGTTTGATCGAACATATCAATTTATAAAGAAGGCGTTTGTTTCCATTCCTAATTTTCACTGAGTTGCTATTTCAACACTATCCGATTCCTAGCATCGCAAGCAGGCATCGAGTCTTCCAAATGAGGTCACGGATTACTGCTTCCACAAAAATGTTTCGGATTGTCGTAAATGATTTTGATTCGTTTGAATCTAGTCTCGCTCCATTATTGGCCATTTCGTAGAACTAGGAATTGAGGTATTAGTCAAAGGTCTGGGTGACTGTGATAATCCCTTCGTCGTAAGTCTCTGCAGACGTAAATTTTACCAGCCGATGTCTTCTTCTTATTAAGTACAAATTTACTGTATAACCAGTAAAATCGGCTTTTCAGTTGTGAGTAAGTTCATTGACACTGGCACAGATGCAACAGACGTCACAGACGGTTTGTTGGCAATAGACAAGAGTTGGGAGTCTAGTAGCGTAGTTGACATGATCTGAACGTATAGTAGTATTTACAGGTGACTGGAAAGTGTTCACGCATCAAAATGTACAAATCTAAAAATTACCACTCTGTCCCCTTCGACAGTACCTTGATGCACTAAATGCGCGCAATCCACGATCCGCTCTGCCCCACGTGTATCGTCTGGTGAAGTTATACGCGTCGTACTCTCGCCAGCAGCTGCTGCCTTTTCTGCGCTCCACCCACCACTACCCTCTCAACGAGGCTCTGACACTATGCCAGTCCCTCAACTACGTTCCAGAAACCATCTACCTACTCACGCGAGTCGGACGTCGCAAAGATGCACTCCGATTGCTCATGGAGAAGGTAAGTGCTGACTAGACAAGCCTTTCCTTGTTTTCCCTTCATTTTTTCCTTTTATTCTCCCCAAAGCGTTTTATGAATGGTTTGATGAAAGCACTCGAGTGGATTTAATGCAATCTGTTTGTTTTGTAGAACCTTATTTTTTAAGTGCTTCATGTGAAAAGAAGCGGTGTAATGAAAAACTGACTTTTATGCGTGTTCGTAAGAAATAGCTTCAGAAATCAAGGTCGCAAATGGATAAAATAGTGATCGATTTGGTTTGGAAAATCAGAAAAAGTTCTTGAGCTAATGGGTACACAAAGAAAACGAAGCAGTCTCGGGAAACAGTGATACATTGTACTCTTGCTAATATTTTGGCCATAGTGCCATTGTGATTATGAAGTAGGTGGTAAATCTATCTGTGGTTTTAAAATCCCATTCATAGGATTGACTTAGAAGGAACTAGACATATTCCATAAACAGTCCCCTTGTCCACAACTTGATTATTCATCTTAGATAACTTGCAACAGATAAGTAGGCCTTACTTCACCTTTGTCGCACAGGTCATGCCTCCTGAATTCAGCTTCACCTTATCACGGAATGCATGTGCGCTACGTGTAAAGTCAACAGTTTATGTTAAGATCGAGCGTAAAAAATTACACCATTCTTCTTCTAAGTATTCGTGCGTTTCCTTCAGGGCGTATTGTTACGTGATGTCCCGTATTCACACTACCCAAGGTTGCTTTCAAAATTGGTTCCGGAGAAACGTCATTTTTCATGCAATCGTTTTTATCGGTTGGATGGACATTTGTCGCGCGATGGGAGGTCAATCCATGTTACCTTGCATACATGTATTGCAGGGTGCAGAGGACCCATTTTTACTGGGTAGCAAGACCCTGACTATGGAACAACGCCAGGCGGAGGTAGCCGCCCGAGCAATTGCCTATTGTCTGGAGGAGGACTCCTCCCAGCGAGGGACCTACCTTACCTCCTACGACCAGCCTCACCGCCTACACTCTAAGCTCGTTCAAAAGCGCAGTCGCGTCGACAGTGGTGGTGACCCCGGAGCAGCAGACTGTGCGAGTGTTGGCGACAACAGTGGTGGCGATAGCGGCAACGATGACGGTGATTACTGGACGGGGGCAGATGGGGGCGTGGGGGAGGGTTGTGGCGAATTGTGGAAGCAGGTGGTGTTTTTTGCAGTTGATAAACCCGGCTTCATTTGCGCCCTCTTAAATCAGGCCAGCACGGAACGGATTGACCCTTCCTTGTTACTACGAAAGATCGCGCCCAACACGGTGATTCCACATTTGAAGGAGTCTTTAGTCAATCTCCTTCGCAATACGCAGGTAATTTTGGGTCTGTTGTGCCAATCATCCCAATCCATTGTCAACAGCAGAACTTGAACCAAATTTAATCCGTGTTTAAAGCGCTATGATCGAGATGGGGATATTAGTGAAGAAGCAAATTAACTGACTTCAATAGACATGATTCCGACGACCCGGCTCAAATGATTTTCTGTTTAGCTAGTGGTTGCTTCTGCGCTGTTGGGAATGGTTTTATTCTCAGACCTGGAAAACTCATTAAACTAAGAGGATTTTGTACCCCTTTTCGTGTGTTCTTGGGCTAAGCCATGCCACCGTTTGCTATCCCACGTACTTCGATTGTTAAGGCTTTTTTTGCTCAATACTTTTCAGATTGTTAGTGATAATATGGAAAAAACCCTTAAGCCATGGTGAAGTGATAACCCGTTGTCTACCCAAGTGGGCAATCAATCTGTTGTATTACAATTAATAGGCATTGATCCATACTAACAGTTCGGTGCAGTAAAAAAATCATTGTTGCTGAGCTTTGTTACTGATCATTGATCAATATGAAGTTGTTTGAGGAAAAGGATTGTAGAAGAAAGTGAGCATGTGCTCCCATTGAGTTAATTTCAAACTAAGAAAATTCCACTGATGGGTGAAGTTATTGGGTGCCGCTTCGTATTACCAATCCATGAAGCGAAAATGAGCAGAAAAGTGTGAGGGACTATTTTCATACCAGATGGTCAGCAGTCTACGGTGTTACTTTTCCTGACCACTGCATTTTCATGCTCGCTACTGGAGTCTCTGGACTTTCAACCAGCACAGCCCAAACGCTCATTACTCTACCGCGACAATAGGTGGCATCAATACTCCTAACAGGTTCAACAACTGTCTAGAACCAAAGAGACTCGGCCGGTCTCTTTTTGTATCTCACGATTTTGTGCAATCGGCAGGTATCAGAAACTGGTAAAGAGCACATTATGTACCCATGTCCTCGGGCTCAGGCTGGAAATGCTTCAATGAGTCTGCTTAAGTCTGAACAAGTTTCATTAGAAGCGGTGATGTACGCGACAGTTATACTAGCAATCTAAGGAGTGATGCATGCAGATAACGAACCATTACTCAAGGTATTAAATTTGAACAGTGGAGGTCTGGAATTAGCGGCTTTCCAAGACAAAATTAAGGACCAGGCAATCTAGCTAACTTTTTTTAGAATTCAAAATGGCTTTTTCAATTAGTAATTATTACTATTCCTGGATAATGTTTCTATTTTGCTATTATTATAAGCGAACTAAATGAAAGCAAGGCCTGATAGTATCGGTCCAAATGTCTGTATCTTGTTTGAGATTTATTATTAAAGCTTTTCATTCGAATAGATTTGTTTTCAAAAGGGTCAAAAATGGGTAATTTTTAACTCTACACGTCTATGAGGATGGAACAGACAGGCAAGGTAGTCGGTGACCATTATAAGTTTGTACTTAACTCCCCTCCAGATGCAAATTGAGCTGCGACGGAATTGCGAGAACATCCTGCTGAAGGATCTCCATGAGGTCTCCTCCCGCCTAGTGAGTATGCAAAACCGTGGCGTGTTTGTGGACATTAGAAAGGAGAAGGGGGAATGGGGCGGCAGCGCCATCTGCCGCGTCTGTCGTCAGACCCTTCTTTCCTCCTCTACAGAACGCCGCTCCAGCAGTGACCAAGAGACAAGCGGACCACACCAGCCACCTCTTTTGGTATTCCGCTGTTCTCACGTCTTTCATCAGGCCTGTCTCCTGCGCCTCGGGCGATTTGTCACCTGTCCGGTGTGCGTGCGGGAGCAGATGGAGGCTGCCTAGACTGTTGCCCATTTTAGTATGACTTGATATTTGTAAAAATGTATTATTACTTCGAACAAGGTAATGTCTAATCTTATTAGTCGTGCATCACTGGATATACTTGTTTCTTTTATGAGTCGACTGATCAAAACGGTTGGCACCGGTGTGTCTATTGGCTGTGATTTTTCCAAGTCTACCCCTGGCCTTTACCGAAATTTTTTCGTTCTGAACTGCAGAAGTAATTCGTCCACCATTGTTTAGGGGTTTTACCATTGTTTGAATTATGATGTCCAAAACTGGAAGACGTGACTTCCCTTATTCCAAGAACATACTACATATATTCCCCTCTTTAGGCTCCGGCGCTCTGTTAGTGACGCAGCCTTTTGCAACTAACTATCAGAAATTGATAAGGAGCACGGAGCACGTATATGTGATGCTGGAATTCACAAGGATAAACACGTTTGCATCCAAATTCTTTATTGTGTTCGCGCTTTTAACTTACAAACAAGTGAACAGTAACAAAAATGCTGACTCACAACACTACGAATAATTAATTTGTCGCATAAGTATGCGTTATTATTTGGAGAGAGATTATTGATAAGTTACCAGATGCTGTAGATTAAGCTGCAGTAGATACATACGCCTCTTTCAATGTGGTAATGGTCGATTAAAATGGGTTCCACGTACTGACGAATCTGTGTGATAAAAAAGCATTAGCTGAGATTCCTTCAAAACCTTACAAACAAAACTGCGATGACGTCGTAAAGTGGAATTGTGGAGGCGTTTAAATGAATAACGGTTGCCGGTAATCTCACTTTCATATAACCAAATATTAAAGCATGTTTTGATACTGTATCGGATCGGATAAATAAGAAAGAGTTAATTAGTTCTTATCTGTGAACATGTTCATGTTCCTGTTAGTCTTATTGGTCTGGTCACGGTACTTCCTAAAACCGAAGGCTGGGTTCACATTAAAATGTTAAGATTTGATGTGTAATCAGCCGAATTTAGAGATTGGTTGTTAATGTTAGCAAAACCTCTCATCAATTTATTTTGAGATATTAGCATATTTTACTATCCTGCTTAGGACTGTAGTAAGTCGATCGTGTTAGTTCGTCGTTGACGACAGTAGTATTGTAATGTCCGTTCCTGAATCCAGCACAGAACCAAACCTGCGCAGGCGTTATTTTTCACCAAAAGGTCACAAATGTTTATTTAATCGGTGAGACAACCTTTGTACCAACAGGTCAGGCCTTCACCCAGAATGACACATTAAATGTTGGGTTTAATTTTAATTTCTTAATTTCTCTTGCTTATTCCAGCACTAGAGCTCTAATAAATTCATGGGCACAAAGAATCAACCGTGCAAAAGCACTGTAGGAGGTATTGGTCTTGCTCATCGGCACTCAACAGTCGTCATAAACAAGAGGTGGGTAGAATCATCCGTTCGAGTTTTTGAAATCAGCATATATATGCCTACGAAACGGTCATCATTGAATACTCTGTGTTTTCTTGGAAGTTTGCTAAGTTCTGTGATCAGATGAATGCGACAGATTTTCATTGAAAAGCGTAATCTCGCGGTGGAACCGCCCCTCTAAAACAGGATCTTTGCAATTAAACTATGCGCATAGCAGCACGACAGAAACGATTTGGAAAATGAACACTCATTCACTTCGTTCGCAATTGGAGGACAAAACCTCAATCACGTATCAAAAACAATGTCAAGGCTTTCTGCCTCGGTCATCGGTACCGGACGGAGTTAGGAGACATTCAAACGTCTAGCGGGCTCGGCGGATATGACTCCACTTTATCCATAGTGATCCAGTGCAACTCTCCAACCTGAGTCAAGGGTTCAGCTCTCGTTAATTGCCAGGTAATAGGTGCGTGTGGTCGTCTACACGGCCTGATACTGTAGATTCACGCCCAGTACCTACCAGTGTCGAAACTGAGTATTCTAAGCTTTTGCAGACCGTTATTCAGTTTTGCTAATACGGCAACATCTCAAAAATTCGCGAAGTTAGGTTCCAGAACCTGCCGCGGACCAGGAGGAATCGCGATTGTTTGGTACGAGTCGCTACAAGTGCGATTGACTGCTTAGTCAGAATTTAGCCCCTCAATATGATCCTAAGGCACTTCAATTGCATTTAAATGTTGGTTTAATACATTTAGAAAGTAGCTGACGTGAAAATAGAATATGATATCGCCCAACGGCTACCTGCCACATCAGCACATTTACAATGCGGTTCAAAAACAATGCAATAATTCACAAGCTGCCGTTTTCTTCTGCTCTTCCAGTACGGTAAAACCAAGTGCCGAATGGGCTCGTAAACTTTGACGGCTTACGTTTCTTTGCCTTTTTCAATGAGTCATACATAATGTACAACTCAATGAAGTGGAGGAAAGGTGCTTTATGTAGGGAGTATAAGTATTCGAATTTTCCCAGTCAGCAAATTTTGCAGATCTTTAAAACTAGTGACTAAAAAACAATTACATTCCAATAAAAGTTCTGCGATTTCCGAAACACGAATGCACAAAGCATTACTGCACTCCCAAGAGGATGGATGCGGGCTAATCCTGCCCTAAACATGGAACCTACAACCGTACATTATCGGAGCCTCGTCGTTCCATCGCTGAAACCATTCCTCACTAAGGGGAGTCTAGAACTGACGCCCACGAAATCGCATATCTCACAATAAAAAGACTAACATCTATAAGGAAACACCGGTTTTCTGTGTCAAATTAAAAGTACAATGACGTTTGTATAAGTCGTCGCTGCAATAATCAGAGCACGGCAGGAGGGAAGCCAACCTCGCGACTAAAATAACTTAATCAGAGTGTCTACGACCAATGCACGCTCAAATATTGATTCCTTGCAACTCACTGAAGTGTGGTTTGAGGGGCAAGGTCCCATCCCAATTTTAGTACTATGAAGAAATTTTGATCCAATGGCATGCTCGCCTGAATCAGAATGTGCGCCAGCACAGACTCGCAGCCAAAATCTCGGCTTTATCCACATCAAAATCCCATAATGTGTAGACAATGGATACACGGAGTTGCGAAGGCGATGCATATGTTCGCGTTTGTGTGTGCGTGTGCGCCAAGAATTAAGAGTAAATTGAATCGTGGTTGTCACAACATCAGCAACGGCATGACCACCGATCGGAGTTGAATTCACACCAAATCTGGAGACTAGCGTGCGCACATGGAAGAGGAAGGGAAGGAGGCCGTGTGAGTAAATCAGATAACGGGGTAAAATCAATCTTTTACAAAAAAGACGGAAGAGAAAGAAGAAATCAACGGTTGCCAGGTGGAATTTGAGTAAAAGGTGGAAGGGAAGACAAGGGGTAGGAAGGTGATCAAGTGATCGCAGAAATTGGGGAGTCAAAAGGTGAAGGTTTGGTCACCGTTTCCTTCGCCGCTCCATCATTCCCCTCCTCCTCTCTACCCTCCGCATCCCTCGGAGATTCGTAGCGAGTGAAACTACGCTGTTCGCGCGAGAGCCCGTCGTCGCACGCGTCTTCGTGGTCGGAGAGACCACTGAAAACATCAATCTCCACTTCCACTTGCTCCTCCCCTTCTTTCTTGTAGCTCTCGCACTTAGGCACAGCTGCTGTGATGGTCGCTGCACCGTCCGCTTTTTCCTCTACTTTATCTAGTTCCTTGGAAAAGCTGTCGATTTCACCACTGACTTCCTCAGTTGGATCATCCTCGATTCCGTTTGTGTCATTACGTGAAGCTGCATTAATCTTAAGAAAAACGAAATAAACCCTCAGTGGCATAATTATAGCTCCGATTCAGGTAGTTGAAAAGGATCATAGCTTCTTTCATAACACAACGGATCTTGCAAAAAGTCCTGCTCTGATTTGAACGCCTCCGAGTCATCAATTTTGCTTGAGGGAACACCCCTTCTGCACGAAGTATCATCTTTGTGCTACTCTGGAACTGTTTAGCCATGACCTAAGACATGGGTCCTTAGAGTTACAGTGGGGTCCCTTAATAAATAAGCACTTAAAGCAAACTAGCTCGCTCTACCAAATGTTGCTGGTAAATAAATTGAGACAAAATGAGTCGGTTGGATCATAAAATGGGAAATGCTTCAGAAATTGCGGGGTAGCGGAGGTAGATTACGCAGTAAGTATCCAAATCAGACGCCAATAATGAATTTGGAAGAATTAAGCAATAGAGTGGGAAAGGAGAAATTTTCATCTAAGTACCATAAATTCACCATGATTTGAACAAGTGATTTAGTAACGATGTATCGAACTATTCCTTTGGCAAATTTAACATGATTTGCAGAATTACGTCCATCCCTAGATTTCTGCCAATCTAACGAATCTTTTGACAAGAGTTGATTGGACTTAAAGATAGGAGGCGCTACAGGTATCTCAAGGTGGCCGAGCTCGATTAGGCCATAGGCGTCCTTACCAGAAGCTCCCATCAAAAAGGAAGTCACAGGTGCTCACATCACATTTTAATTCACAAAACATATAATTTCTCATTTATCAAGAGCAAAAAATAAGTTGGTTACGGCATTATGATTCTCCTTAAGCATCACATATTGCGTTCTGGGCCAAAAGTATGCTAATTTGATCGAATGAAGCGGCAAAACTAGTTTGACTGTAGGAATGGAAAAGTACAGGAGTAGAGCCTGTTTCATCGTTACATGGTAATCCAGCAAAATAAATCTGCCAAGACATTCATTCCTAAATGATCGTGCTTCTTCTTACAGCATTACTTGATACATCGTAAATTAAGCTGTTGAAATGATTGAAACGAAGCAGCAAAGTGAAAAACATATCAAAAATGACAATCAAGTTGGCCAAAAAATGCACTTAATTTACATATTTGTCAAAACTACCATACTGGATTTCCCGTTTTTACCTTCATTATAACTTTAATCTCTTGGGATTTACTAAAAGAAGTCAGCAAGACAAGGGGAACTTATAGAGCGGCAGTTACCCGTTTCCAGCTTCATTAAAAATATGAACTTAGTGGGCTGATCAAAACGAATCAGCAGGGGAACGAGCGTGTTGGTTTTTCAGCTGAAGACTTTGCCAAATTTGAATCCAATAGTAATAGATACCTGATTCAAACGCTATAAAGCTTCAGAAAAAAGTCAAACTTACGAGACTAGCGTTTCCATTCTGAGTTACATCGGGAATAATAGGACCATCACCGGAGGATTGCGGAGGGTTGTCTCCAGGGGGGGGAGGGAGCACAGGGACATCAGTAGGGTGGGTGGAAGGAATTGTCTCCGTGGGGAGGGGCAGAGAGTATGGTTGTGACTTCACTGCCATGGCCTGTTGGCTCTGCATTAATGCCTCGAATCGCTTGTCCGGGCGGCGAAATAGGAAGATCTCCTGCACAGACAACAGACGCATGTGTATGCAGGGAATCGGTTTCTTGTGACAATGAGCTAGTTCTCCCTCCACCCCAATTTGACAAAGCCAAATATCCGCGTCATCATCCAGACACTATTTGCACGTCTCTACAGTCCTCTGAGTTTGGACTTATCAAGAAAATGTAAAATAGTTACAAAAATCATGTTAAAACCAGTCAAACCTATATGGACTTTGACTTTCAAAAGTGAAGTTCTGGTGTTGATAGAAATGTAACTCTCCCTGACAAGGGCAAAAATAAAGTCGCTTTATATTATACAAATAAGCGTTATGATAAGGTGCATTACCTCCATTTAAAAGTGTATTAAATTGAAGAAAAAAACAGTCTTCTTGAATTCAACCCCTCGTTACCAATCTAAAATGACGTCAGTTAGTGTGATTGTTTTACTTTGAAGCCCTGAGACAATAAAGGTATGCCTGCGATACAAATCTGAACTCCACCTTTGGATTTGTTGGAAATATGAGGAATTAGCATCTCTTGGAAGTCAATTTAATGAGGCGGAGATTCAATTCATATGCGGATTCTTCTTTGAAATGAGCTAACAAAACACTCATTTAAGTGGTCAAACGCTTTAGAACTCGTGTACAAACTCACATCCTCAGTGAGTGCTAAACAGTTTCCTAATGAAGACAACAGAAGAGTCGGCGGGTGTCAGTTAGTTACTGAAATCTTCGCTTTTGGTCAATCGGTAGGGGTAAAAAATAGTTAATTTTTTTTACCACAACATCCTACCTGCAATGCTGTTTAACTTGGCCGCCAACTGGTGAAGACAGTTTTTGAGGGGACAAATATAATGGAGTTGGTGGTGTGTCACCATGAGGACGGTGAATAGGTAAGAAACAACACCGCCGATCACTACCTTAGATATTACTGAAATTTTAGGCAGTATTTATCGCAGAGGTCGGAAATTGCACCACCACTGCGGCCAAGGTACATCGAGAATGGTAAAATAGAATCACAAGATTTGCCTCATTACCACATCTGTAACCAATGCCAAACAAGCGTATATATATGACACCTTTTTGTAATGTTTTAATTACTATTGATTGTACCAATTGGTGAGTAGCAGAGACTGGCTTGATTTGGAACGTTAAAGTAGAGTTGCGGTTCTCCTGGTCTCAGGAGGCCAACCGCATTTTTTCTCGTCGTCGAGCAATGCAACTGTAAATAGGAATATCTTTTATAGGCTGTGGTGATTGACTTACCCCTAAAACCCTAACAGTAGACATGTCAAAAGGCAATTTTCACCTCACTTTATTGCACACCTACCAACTACTATTTAGTAGATAATCAAAACAACCTCTTAATGGAATGGGTCGGCAAGGGAAAAAACCGACTCATATTTTAGCAGCAAAACTTGACCCATACGTTTGTAGTGACATATGGGTAAAAAGTGGCTTAAAAGAGTAAGAAAAAAAGTACTAGCCTGAATGCGTTGCAAAGGGATGAGATTGCTATGGTGGAGGCAAAAGAAAGACATGTATCCTAATCCACGATAATGAAATGCTCTGAATGCATTTTGATAGCATTAATATTTGACCATACAAAAAAACAGTCCAAACTAGAGTTAGAGAGTGTCAATTCCGACTTGCGTCATTTGTGGAGGCAAACATTTTGCGCGCAAATATCGGACAATCTTGCAGAGTTTTGAAAGCGGTAATGAACAAAAGATTGCACACTACTTATGGGAGTAAAATTGTACAACGAAGACAAACCGTCTTATAGCGATTTAAAGCGCAGGGTTCAGGGAAAATAAAAGCACTTTTTATCATTATGGTGCTTTCGCATGTAATGAAATCAAGATCGGATCATAACTCGGATGCCAGAAATGACAGGGAGTGCAGAATCACACGCAAATTGCAGCAGTAAAGCCCCATATGGAGAGTAGAAATGCTTGCACAGAAGCACAAGAGATCTGTTAATTCCCGTTCGAGGACCAACACACACACATACACGCACGTACGAAAAATAACAGATGAGACCAGAGAGAAGGTAGGAAACCGACGTGTTTCTCTTTGTACCAAAGTTTCTATAAGTATCACGATAAACTTGATTTTCAATAGTACCAAAAAAAACTGACAAATCCATTCCAGGGTTCCGCCAAATTTTTACCATTACCTTTCGATCGCATTAAGAAAAATAAGAACCGTTCAAAATCATCATTGGAATTGGAGAAGAAATGGAGTGACGCTTTTTTGTCGCAGCGATGCTTTTACAAACACAGAGTAAGCCTACTTTCTTAATGGTACAGGGAGGTTGACAAATTCATGCTCAAAATTTTACCAAACGAATTCGATCACATCATGATTCAGCCAAAATCAAATTCACGCGGGAAAACAGGCGAGACCAGTGTAGGATAAAATGCTATATGTTGTTTGTGGTAGCCAAGTTGCCAGCGCATAAAAAGCCTTTTTTAAGTCATGAGAGGGAATAACAGGTTTGCGTCCAGAATCCAGCTTATCCCACATACCCTCGATAAAACTAAAAAGGAAATCACGCAAAAAGCAGAAGGAATTTGAAAGACGAAACGACGTCTTATTTGTGGTAGAAAAGTTTGTTGATGGGCATGGTAAACAGGAAAGACACAAATTGGACTGTGAAATTAAACTGAAGCGGTTACTTCAAAAGGCCGAACCTCTATCAAAACAGAATGGCCTTGTCTTTGCATGATCACCGCTTAAATACATTCTTTAAAATTGTTAGTGACACGCACCCATTGTTTGAATGAAAAAATAACATTGGCATCTCGTGTCCATGATGACACATTAGAGAGTCAGGTATGTTAAAACGGAATGAACAGATCTGCGAAGGCTAATTTAGCTTACCAAATTGTATTTAAGGCGTCATAAGTTCAGCTGCGCTGGAAAGCCAGCTGCGAATTGAAGGTTAAACGAAACAATTAAAATCTGGTATATCGATGACAGCTATGGTTCAATGTGATCGCCATCATTTCTGAAACCAAACCGATGTACATCAGAATGAAAAAAGGAGAAAGAACCGACGTGATTTTGGCAGTGACTATGCCTTTATACATAGAGAATGAGCCAATCTTAATACTAAAGAAAGTTTTGACCGATTCACAATCGTATCCACATAAAAAGCAGGCAAAGTCAAGCGGAAAGGATGCGGAACGACGTGCTGTTCACACCGATGAAGTATCAACACAGGGTGAATCTGTTTTAAAAATGATGAAGGTTCACCTGAGCAAAACGCCGATGATATGGTATGCAGTTGATTGTTTGAGTACCTAAGTAGGAAATCACAGAGTAGGGAAGCGCCTATTTATTCATAGGAGGCTTATTTTCACATTACATTGAGGAGACACAAAAGACCAGTGTTTGTGATTCAATACAAATTTATTTTCCCAACACCTCCCGTGATCGACCCGCAAATCTAATCCACTAAAAAAGATTAAATCGAGGCGGAGGTAAAATGATGCCTCCTTCGTAATACACTCGGGGAAAAAACATGAGACGGAATCAGAACAGAACGTTAACATACGTGTTGTTTGTAATAGCGCCTCTCCTCCTCATCAAGCAGCACGAGGTTGAGGTAGTAGCGAACGGAGAACTTCCGATTGACGTCCTTCATTGTAGGCGTAAGATCGTAAGCGCCGAGAAAGAGACGGATGGGTATGCATTCCCCACGCACGGGTGCGCCATCCATGATCTCGAACTTGGCCAGCGTTTCCATATCAGTAAAGGTGTTCACCGCACCCAACCCTGTCGACTCGCGGCGTAGGATCTGCACCTCCATGTATTTGATTTTTACTCGAACCAGCAGAAAGTAGATCTTACCGACTATCACATCCTCCAAGTGATAGCTGGGAGCCAAATAAACAAATAGACAGTCAATAGCATTAGTTACCGTAACCTTTTTTCTATCTTCAGTAAACCCTAACACAATTTCAAATTCATTTCATGTCATTTGTTTTCCTCATTCATCAGTTGAAAATCTTACCTTTGCTGACAGTATTATTGCTTACCACCACTTTCTTCAAGTATCATCACCACCCTTCCCTCGGATATACACCGCGAAGCTTGCATCCTTTTCATCCTATTTCAAATCAAGTTTGAAAATTTTCTTCCATGGGTACAACTTTGACAAGTTATTGGTGGGAAATATCGTCATTTACTAACAATGTTTAAAGTCTATCCAACCACGATTAAAATGGGGTACCGTTTCATGCACGGAAAAGATCGCAAAGGAGTCTGCTGCCAGAAAAGTGCAACTTCAATGAAGGATACCAACACCAAGGAGCGGAATGAGAATTGGAAGGCGTAATTTGAGTAAATTCGTACAGAATTCTCAGCCAATGATACTCTAAAATAGAGTAGTTTTTCATCCATTCGGAGATTCGTAGAACAAAGGAAAACACAATTTCAAAATGTTAGTTAGGAATGAACTAATAAATGAGCCCCAAAACCCTGGATTTCTAATGTAGTACTTTTAAACAATCCAGCACATCACATAATTCAGCGCGTCATGACAATCCTGTGCCAGAAAAATTTTGCGTATCATCGTGAAAAAATGGCAATCGTCACATCTTCAACCAGATCCGAAACAGGTTTGTATATGTTGAACAAGCAGGATAATGTGTGAGGGGGAAAACTTTCACCAGGCTGAGTGCGGAAAAGTGGATCTCCAGTAGGAAGTAGGAAAGTTAGCTTTACTTATGGGAAAAATTACTAAATAAACTCAACTGTTCCCCCACCAGTCGCATTTTTACTACGTTTTTTTCTGGTGAAAATATAGGGCAACCAAATAGATTCGTGCAATTTTTTCATGAAACCAAAATAATTGCAGATAACTTCTTCAACTGTTTCATTTATTGAGACAATAACCATTACCATCTGCTATCCTTTCCAAACTGGACACAAATCTGAAGATGTTTGTTTGCTTACCGGCCAGCAAAATGCAAAAGTCATTTCTCATCATAAGTCGGGCAGTCATCAGTCAGCAAACTAAAACGCAGTGTTTTTATAACGCACCCGAGAGAAGTGAAGAACAAATGAAGTCACTGAAGTCTGTCTTTCATGTAGTATGGGTGGGATCAACTTACTTAGTAGCTTCCACAACTTTTTTCCAGTTGATGTGGATGTAAATACCATCAATGAAATTCATTGACGCACAGAGATAGAAGATCCTCCGGTATGCGATGTATCTAAACAATTTTTAGTTGATACGTCCTACCATTGTACTCACAAACAATGATATAGATTTGAGGAGAAACTTCCCCAGCTTTGGAACAACGTTAAACTAGATTAACTAAAGTAGTCAAGACTGAACCACACTAGGCTCAGCTGAGTCTCTACAAAGGCTCAAAGTAGAAAAAGCGGTACATGGGCCAGCGAAGAACACATAGTAATGAGTCCCTACAAATTACAGCAAGTCACCTCTACAGGCTGTGCCGATAAACACACAAAATTTCCAACCGCCTGATTAATGTTATAAAGAGCGACCAAATCGTGCCTACTACCATTATTTCCGTGGGTCACCTGTACCACATTACCTTCTAAAAGGGTACCAACTGAATGTGACATTTTAGGAGGTGCAATTTAAAGTAAACCCGTACAGTACTCCAAGTCGACGATGAATTGGGGTAGGACACAGCTCTGCACATCGAATCACCAATGGCCTCAATTAAACCTGCTGACAATTAACTATTGGGAAAGTTGGGGATTCAAAAATTATAGTCGGCTAAAATCGCAAGGAGATTGATACATATACACTTTTGCGCTCTACATAATGTCAAAAATTCGCGATAGGCCACTAGTCAATTTCGTATACTGTGTGTGATAAAAACAATGCTTAAGTGAAGGTGAGCGACTCGCATAAGTTTTGCAGTCCTTCTACTAGGTGATGTAAGAGTTTGGTCATTCTCAAGTTGAAATCTGAAAAGAGAATACCTATCAAATGTGAAACTAAGATATCTTTTCTCAGGTTAAATCATAATTTTTTCAGATTGAAACTATAAAACGGGTCTGTTAAAGGGGTTTTTAACGGCTACATTCAAAACAAGCCTACGGTGCATCTAATTGGAGCGTCCATCCATGCACTGAGGAATTTATATAATAAACGAAAACGCAATGAAGAATGTTGGTACTACGGTATTATTTTTTGTGAGTGAATGAAATCACAAGCCACGACAACAACAGCAACTTGACATAACTCACTACGCAATTAACGCGCATAAAAATATTGCATTTTATTTGAGAGACTAAAAACTCGACCACCCCGTTTCCGAACACACAATTTAAACGAGTTTACATAACACAACTAGAGTAACTCACTTACTCACAAAGCAATTAATGGCTAGTTTAGTAGAACGGCATATGCTCACTACCATAAATTTTGTGTTAATTGGACAACTGGCAATACGAAAGTTGAGCAAAATTTCGCTGAGAATGGGGAAGATTTGGTCACCTGAAAGCTGAAATCTAAGCAGAGAACATATACAAATAAAAGGTATTGTTTTCCCGCAAAACTAAATTATTTCCAAGTAAAGTGTTTTCATTCCTCACGATGAATTGTAAGTAAAAAAGCAGAATTTCTCCAACTGAAACTAAAATCTGATGCAGTGCAAAGCACAACCAATAACACGTGAGATCCATCCATGAATGAATACTACCATGATGACGCAAACGGAGTTCACGAGAGCACCAAAAGACGGTGACAACCCATTTCAGCTTTTCTCGCATTGCAATGTGTTCCTACCATTAACAATACATGCAAACTATTAAAATAAAAAGACCATCATCCATTTGAATACTCTAATTTTACGCAGAAAGGTTTACTTAGAGGATCGAAGGCAATTTTGAAGCCCATTTACCAGCAAATGCCTGGCCGTATTTCACTTTTAGTCACAGAACTCGGTAATCCAATATCACTAGAGCACAGTAACGAGCATTTAAAAAAGGAAAAAGTACCTCGAATTTTAATGAGGAATTAGCTTATAGCGACGGATTTCAGGCGACGCAAGTGCATGCGGTTAGACTGGGAAATCAAATCCTTTAATGGCACTCAACGCTAAGACCGAAGGACAGAATATTAGGCAAGTTATTGAAAGTGAGATAAATGAAAGGTACACATTCACCAGGATGCGTTATACTCGAATTCGATGTGGAGGCTGTCCTCAATGCCCACCTCCATTTGGATGTTGATGTCGGGCTGTTGGGGCTTATGGTGAGAATGCACGAGTATGTCCAGCTCTTTCGTCAAATCCATGAATCGCTTCACCACCGTCAACCGCAGGAAGTACCTGAAAAAAAGTAGGAAGAGGGAAAACCAATGCGCAAACACTTCCTTTTCTAACGGCGATAGGTAGGTAGTAGTAGGATGGTACATTGCAATAAAAAAGAAGGGAAACGTTTCTGCTCTAAATAGTAAAAGCCTATTAACACAAATCGCCAAAATGGCGCAAAATCAAAATGTGAAATAAAACCATAGAAATGATACCTGTTTGATTCTTCAGTAATGAAAGAAAATACTGAAAGTAAGATGAATTTCTTAAAAAGATGGGCCAATAAATCAGTGAGAGTTTATGCAAGCATCGCAGCACCCTCGGCAGCTTAAAAGCGATTTGAAGTTTCGAGAGACCATAAGGGTCTGTGACTATCCGAAAGGTTGACTCTATGAGGGAAATATAACATTCCGATGGTTTGCAACCGGAATCTTAGAGATATGGACAAGTAATGAAGACTTGTTAAAAATTGAAATTGATTGACTTCAAAATAGGACGTCGCATTAGGGGATGTAAGTAAATGACAAGCTAACGAGTCCCTAACCTGAAAAATTACTGGGACGTAAACACTAACAAATTTAGTGCAGTTTCGAACTAACTTAATAGACAGGGTAGGTAACCAAGATTAGAGCGGCAACCAGGATGGAATTAGGAAATTAAGGGACCAAGAAATGAAACTATATAAATTTAATTATAAGCCAGAATTTTGGGCAAAACAATATCGATCCGCCACAGCTAGAGGAATTTTACTTCTGAAGACCAAATAAATTCATGCGTTTGTACAATAAACAGGTAAATGGCTACTTTGATTAACCTGAGATTGATATTGGAGCCAGAATAGGATTCAAAAGGCATCTCAACGTTATCGAAGAGGAAAGGATATGTGGTTGAGGCCTGAGAGAGTATCCCCGGACGAGCCAACTCCTGTGTTCGATTAAGAAATTCATCCCGACTGCCCCGATCCGAGAAAAAGTCAATGTAACCGATAAGCTCTATTTTGATACCCTGATACTCCAATTTACTGCCCCGCTTCAGGGAGATAGTGACTTGACCCGAGATACTTTCGCCATTGTAGAACACGGGTAGAAGGCATGTCTGCTGTTGGTCTGACTTAACCTCAACCAATTTCCGATTGGTTAGATTATTCAGAGTAATATCTATGGAAGCACTTTGTCCGATACCGAGAAAATTCTGAAAATGAAGTATTGTACGCAAAGTCAAGAAACCATGAGTTAAGAGCAACGAAAACATTAAGGAAGAAAAAGACATTAACAACTATTCAGCCTAATACGCGAAAGGATTACTTATGATTCACAAATCACAAGTGCATACCATAACAGAACTAAACTTTACAGCCAGCCGGGTGTTATCACTGTGCACCAAGTGCCATATATCCTCACCACTTATTGGTTGAAGTGTTATGTCGCTAAAATCAGCCTCATTATCTAATATTTAAAACTCTGTTTTTTACCTTATATAAGAACTAGACAGCAAAATAACCCGCCGTTTTGTTTGTGTTACTAAATAATTTAAATTGCAGCTTTTGTTGCTGCGTTAAAAGGACTTTAGTATCTAGCACAAAGAATATTGAAAAGTTGGACAATCAAAACTAACAACTTACTTTCCATCAAATGTTATTAAAAGCCATGCCAACTCACATTCTATGCACAACTT